TATCATTATTATTATTACTGTTGTTGTTATTATTTTGCAATTCTGGTACAAGTCAAGTAATGCTATTTTCCTAATTTACTTTATATTCTGGCTGCCTTTTGCTAAATTCCAGTCTCTCTTAATCTCTACTTTGCCATAAGCTTCTACTGAAAGTTCTGTTCTTAAAGCTGCTAATTTTGGAAGGTACTTTCTGGGCAAAATTGATATGTTCCAAGCTTTTTTTCCTCCTTCTAAATACCTGGAGAATTTGTTCATATCTTACTCCAGAAACAGTTAAGCCATTAGTCCATGCCTTAGTTGTGTCCTGCCTGGATTTCTGTAACACTCTGTTGGCAGGTGTTCCTGATTCTACCCTCTGCCTACTAGGTTCATGCCTAGAAGAGTGCAGTTTGTGTGGTTTTTCATCCCTCCTGATACCCACCCAGCTCTTCTTTTTGTCAGTCCCTACATTGGTTGAGTCTTCAGGAGCATTATCAGTTTACAATGCTGGTGCTGACTTCCAGGCCATGCTTAAACACCCAGGTTTTTTTAATGCCTTGTTTACAGTTCATACATGCTTGGCTTAATTGTGTATCCAAAGTTGACGTTAAAATGGCCACCTAAGGATGTAGGGTGTTTTCCCATACTCTTTGAATCAACCCCTTCTTGAATTATGTGTGAAGCCTAATCTCTTGAAGTTTAAAAAAGCTCTGAAGAGGTGCCATGCTTGTGCTTCTGTGCATTCTGAACCAACTCTTCTGAAACTTTTCAGAAGCATGCAGATCTCTATTAGATGGTGCCAAAGGTTTCTAGGGAAAGAGGTGTTGCTGCTCGACCACAAGCTTTCTGCACAAGGGGAAGGTCCAAGATTCAATCCTCAGCATCTTCTAACAAATCTGGGGGGAAAAAATCCTGCCTAAACTCTAGTCAGTAATCCTTATGGTGTTAGGAGAAACAATGATCTTATTTAATAAGGCAATTTCCTGAAAAGGTCAAAAGTCCATCTAGTCTATTATTCAGTGCTGGATGGCCAGGGAGGTGCCTTTGAGATGCCACGAATGAAGGCACTATGCAGGAGCGCCCTGCGCCTTGGATTCTTCAGCAGCTCCTGCTGTTGAGCCTCGGCCGAAGAGGACTTTTTCAGTTGGGGCAGCTTTGCTCGTGTGCTTTTGCCACCATCTTCATGTTTGCTCAGGCCTTTTTCTAATGATGTATTTTATGCTAGTGGTGGTTGGTTTTTTTTTTTATTGGTTCACTCTTTTCCTGATTTTGTTTCTGTTTATGTGAGCTGTTCTAGAAATACTTATTGAACATTGGTATGTAAATTCATTATAATAATATGTATCAGCCATGCTGAATCCTGTCCCTACGTAACTTGGGGAGTAGCTAACCCAGTTGCTAGGCTGGAAAGGTTGGCCACCTGTTGCCCTCAAGAACAAGATAGGCCAAATCCTTTAAATCAGGGAGTAGGCTGCTGATTGCTCTTTGTTTACTTTGGGCTATAACTCCCATCAACTCTAGTATCACCAAGGTTAGACTGAGGTCCAAAACATCTGGAGGATGCCAAGGTACCTACCTCTGATTTAAACAGTGTGAGGGAAATTGAAACATATTTGGGGGTTGCGTTCCTAAGTATGGACCGTTGAACATTTGGGGATTTACTTCTGAATACGCATAAGTGTGTGGCAGGTGAAGCCATCTTCAGAACTTTTTATAAGGTTATAAGAGTACCGGCTTTGGCCAGAATCTAGAGTGGGAATAGAAGGACCATAAAACACCTTCTCTTCTGCATTAACATTGCAGGATTTTCTTTGTGAACCACAATCATGGCCTTGGCTGACATCCAGATGAAATCGGAGGACTTTTTGCAAAAAAAACAGCTGAATGCTGGTGGATTTGGAATGGTTTTGTTATGCTACCACAAACGTCATGGGCTTGTAGTGTTAAAAACTGTGTACACGGGGCCTCAACGCACAGAGTAAGTTGGAGAACTGTTCTTTACAGACAGGAAAGGGCAGGACAGAATTGTTGGTTATCAGCGTCCTGGTAATTTCCAACCAGATTAGCTGGCCCTCTGACTAAAATTATTCCTCCTCTATTTTTTTAAGGTTTGATTACCCAGAGATTATTACTAAAACAAGATTTCCCCAGTGGTGTATCATAAGAATGTAAAAAGAACCCTGCAAGGTCAAGTCATTGCTCCATCTTATTCAGCATTTGGCTTCTCCCAGTGTTCAACCAGATTTGTTTCAAGAAAACTGTGCAAGCAGGGCACAAGGGCAATTGCTCTTGTCTTGTTCTCCTGCATCTGACAGTACATTAAACAATTTAAGTCTCATTGAGCTCAGAACCATAGAGGAAGGTAGTTGCTACATGTGTTTTTGATTTTGCAACCTTTCAGCTAATTCCTGCTGCAAATGGTTCATTATTCCTGGCTCTGCAACAGGCACCAGTTGAGGGCCCCCTCAGGAATCTGCCTGTGGTACACCCGATATACTTCAAGGGGTCCTTTCTTCTTTTAGGGTAGGAGGCATTTTAGCTTCCCATAATGCCCTGTACTAATGCATCGTGGAGATTAAAATGCAGCTATTCCCCAGACCGAGATACTTATTGGAATGTGAGGAGTAGTGGAAGAGCCAACAAGAAAGAACCTGGGTCCTTTAGTATTCCTGATGCTATGAAAACAGTAGAATACACCTCTGGTAATAATAGGAATTGCCACTCATATGCAAGACCACTTTTCATTCATCTACCTGCAAAGTCTGCAGTTTCATTATGCCAGTTTTCTGCAGTGTGATGCACTTCAGATGTGTTCAACTACATCTCAAGCATCATAGTTGATTAGAGTTTGTGAGAGTTGTAGTACAACAGATCTGGTGGCAGTGGGGATTACATGTCTTTAGCTGTCATCATGCAATAATTTGATCTATTATTTCAGCAAGTTCAGATGAATAAAACTAAAGTAGGGGTAGGCAACCTGGTGCCCTCCAGACATTCTGGATTGTAATGCTCTTGAAGTCTTGCTACTGATTGTGTTGGCTGGGAGGAGAAACTCAATATATCTGGAAGATACCAGGTTGCCGATTCCAGGCTTAAAGCCTGAAGATCACAACTTGAGTATAGATTTAGAATGTTAGATCTCCAGTTCTCTCCTTTTGATAATGCCACACAATGGTAATCCTATAGCATTTATTTTCCAGATGTAACACTTCTCTTCTAGAGGAAGGCATGATCATGCACAAACTAAATCATGATCGTGTGGTGAAACTATTGGGTGTCATCCTAGAAGATGGAAACTACTCCCTTGTAATTGAATACGTACGCAAAGGAGACCTGATGTCTGTTCTACAAGCAGTGAGTACAGAGTAGATTGATAACTTGCAGAATAATCTGCTGGTCATTTTGGAGAAAGTGCCTAAAAATGAGGAGATGCTATTCAAGTCTTAATTTGCTAGTGATGATGTGTTTGTATTGCCATGAAAATGGTTTGGATTTTAATTCCCAAACAGTGGATTGGAGTATGCTTAGAGGACTAGTATATGGGATTGCTGAATGATGGGGAAACTGGAACATAAGGAGTTAAGACAATTGGAAATATGGATCCTAAGCTGCTAGCTGTGCATGAAGAAGTAGGAAGCCCCTAATACTGAAATCATAATTGCACAAACTGAGCAGCTTTGCATGTATGTTTTGATGCCTATTTTTACTTCCAAGATGTTAAACATTTGAAAGGCTTCAGCAAGCAATGAAATGGAAGAATATTGATGCTAAACCATGCAAATGAAACCTCCTAGAACTCTGTTTGGAAATCATTCAAACTCATACTTGACAATGAGTCCTCCCAGTATAGGACCCTTATTAATAACTTGAACCTTTTCAACTGCCTGATTTCCTTTGCCATCCATTGTCTTCATAATGGTGGGCTGTGTGTTGTTACCTGTTAATGATGTGTTTCTCATAAACTGATTAAGTCCAGATGTGTATCTTCTGCTTGTCTCGGAAGCAGTCATAGCTTTGTTGTTGTTGTTGTTGTTCAGTCGTTAAGTTGTGTCCGACTCTTCGTGACCCCATGAACCATATTGCGCCAGGCCTTCCTGTCCTTCACTGCCTCTTTAGTTCTTCTTCACTTTCTGCCATTAGGGTGGTATCGTCTGCATATCTGAGGTTATTGATGATTCTCCCTGCAATCTTAATTCCGGCTTGTGATTCTTCCAGCCTGGCATTTCTCATGATGTACTCTGCATATAGGTTAAATAAGCAGGGTGACAGTATCTTTAGTTCTTCTTCACTTTCTGCCATTAGGGTGGTATCGTCTGCATATCTGAGGTTATTGATGATTCTCCCTGCAATCTTAATTCCGGCTTGTGATTCTTCCAGCCTGGCATTTCTCATGATGTACTCTGCATATAGGTTAAATAAGCAGGGTGACAGTATCTTTAGTTCTTCTTCACTTTCTGCCATTAGGGTGGTATCGTCTGCATATCTGAGGTTATTGATGATTCTCCCTGCAATCTTAATTCCGGCTTGTGATTCTTCCAGCCTGGCATTTCTCATGATGTACTCTGCATATAGGTTAAATAAGCAGGGTGACAGTATCTTTAGTTCTTCTTCACTTTCTGCCATTAGGGTGGTATCGTCTGCATATCTGAGGTTATTGATGATTCTCCCTGCAATCTTAATTCCGGCTTGTGATTCTTCCAGCCTGGCATTTCTCATGATGTACTCTGCATATAGGTTAAATAAGCAGGGTGACAGTATCTTTAGTTCTTCTTCACTTTCTGCCATTAGGGTGGTATCGTCTGCATATCTGAGGTTATTGATGATTCTCCCTGCAATCTTAATTCCGGCTTGTGATTCTTCCAGCCTGGCATTTCTCATGATGTACTCTGCATATAGGTTAAATAAGCAGGGTGACAGTATCTTTAGTTCTTCTTCACTTTCTGCCATTAGGGTGGTATCGTCTGCATATCTGAGGTTATTGATGATTCTCCCTGCAATCTTAATTCCGGCTTGTGATTCTTCCAGCCTGGCATTTCTCATGATGTACTCTGCATATAGGTTAAATAAGCAGGGTGACAGTATCTTTAGTTCTTCTTCACTTTCTGCCATTAGGGTGGTATCATTGTTCATTTAAGAAGGCCTTCTTATCTCTCCTTGCTATTCTCTGGAAATCTGCTGGATGGATGCTAAAAGTCATCCCCCCAAATTCCTTTATAAGCATGATTTGAAAACCTTCCCCCAAGTGAATTCCCACCAGATGTGTTGGATTATATCCATCATGCCTAGCCAATGTCCTAAATTAATGGATCTGAATAACTCATGATTTTTTTTAATGACCTGTTATCTGACCTGATAAATTCAGTTTCATACATGTCTAGACTGAGTTTAACTAATATTTTGCTGGAGTTTGTTTTTTTTTACAGACCCCTATTCCTTTGCCTGTGAAAGGACGCTTCGTTCTGGAGATCGCCGAAGGAATGCTCTATTTAACAGAGCAGGGTTTAGTGCATAAGGATCTAAAACCAGACAATATTCTTGTGGATGAAGATTTTCACATCAAGGTAGCATGAACACACACACATCTTCAGTCTTCCAGTAAAATCAGAACCACGCGTGTTTGTTAAATGTATGCTTGTCTATTAGGCTATAAAGGGGGATTGGGAGGGCTTAAGTTTCACTAGATGGATTATGTGGTACAGGAACTCAATTCTATTTCTTCACTGTACCTCACTGTTTACTCTTTGCCTTAAGTCTTCCTGCAATGTCATTTCAAGTGTTTTGAGTTGGGCAAGGGGAAAGACGCTATGAGGTGTGCAAAAGGCTTTCTTCCCACAGAAAACTCACTCCAGGGTGGGGTGGGGGTCTGAGGGTCTCAGAATGGGTGGTGTCACATATAGTCAGGGATGGAATAGGGGCCAATTTTAGGGATTTTCTTTACAAGTGAACTGTGGCATACCTGTTTTAGGATTTGCACCACATTTTTCATCTGTTTCTCACCAGTTTTCAGCAGTTATGATCTATGGTGGTTCTAAGGCCACCAGAAGGGGAGCTGAGAAACACATGCCACCTCTGATCCAAGAGGTCTGACTTTAAAGGGATGGAAGGGGGAAGAAGCAATAGTAGTAGTGCTTACCTGCATATTTCCTCAAATTACTTTTTGGAATATTTCACAGGTTTTCTAGAATGTGACTAAGGAAATGAAGTACTGGTCACAACAAGAGCCACCATTATAGCTTCTCAGCTTTACTGTTGATCTGCATTGGCATTCTGCCAGATCAGCCTCTTGGTCAGTTCAGCAGCATTTTTGGGGGCCTGGGGATACTAGTTTTTAAGAGTTTCAGGAGTGAGGATCACATTGGCAAGACTAAGATAGCACCAGAGGATGGGGGATTTTCAGCAACACAGTCTTTGGGGACTGTGAATGGGGGCTGTGACATGGAGGGTGAATGCTATTGGATTGTATGTAATTCTATTTTATTGTAAAAAAAAAAAAGAGAGGCATAAATCAAAAGACAAAAACAATTCCTGGCTTATGACTGTTTTGTTCAGAAAGAAAGGAAAGCCAGTGACTTCTTGTCCAATCATAAGGCTAAAAAGCAGGTCAGCAAAATTACACCAGTGCCCATCTGAATCCAAAGACACACTTCTGGCCATTATACAGCAACACGGGAGGAGAGAATAGGCAACAAGAACCAGTAGGGTGCTCAGTCGCAACACAGAAGTCTGACGAACTGGATCATTTATGGGAGAAAAGCCAATATTTATTCATTCATTCATTCATTTGCAGGGCTTATACAGTTCATCATGATGCTAGCATTCCATATACATTACCGTAATGAAAATGGCAGTGCACAGTGGCCAATCCTTCAGGATATTTTGCTTTTCTTTCCTTGTGCTACAAGCTAAACCATGTGGTTCAATTAAAAAATGTATAATTTTTTATTAAGGATTTTGATTACAGTAGTAAAAACTAATACAAACTAAACTTAAATAAAGAAAAAATAAGAAAATAAAAAATGCAAAAGAGAAAAAAGAAAAGAAAGAATATGATAAAGAAAAAGAAAAGAAATATATAAAATGACTTCTAACTTTCATTACCACAAGTATAGACAAATTTAATAACTCTTCACCCCCTATAAGGTTATAAACAGATATTTCTTCATCCCATATCCCATCCCTTATCTATAAGCAAATCCATAAAACATC